TTCACGTTGATATAAAGCAGCCGTAATAGCTCCAACACTTGATAAACCAGTAGCCAAATCAATAACAGCAACACCAACTTTGACAGGTTCCTAGGCACTACTTTTAATTTATATATTTATAAAACAATACGATTAATCAAACAGGGAAAACTCAATCTTACCGAACTTCCTGTTATACTCATCATTCCACCTAATGCTTGAATCATTAAATCATAACCTGGTCTTTTTGAATACGGACCTTTACTTCCATAACCTTAAATAATATTAATTAATAATCATATTAAAAAACAAATAAAATTTTTATTCAAACCTGTTATTGAGCAATAGATAAGTTTATCATTAATCGATTGAAGATCTTTATATTCAAGACCAAATTTCTTTAATTGTCCAGGTAAATAATTCTCAATTAAAATATCACTTTTTTTAGCTAACTAATTTAATAATAATCATAAGAATTTATTTATATTTAAATTAATTAATATTACTTCACGAATAATTGCTTGACCTGGTTGACGACTCATATCAACAGCAATACTTTGTTTATTTCGATTAATACTTAAAAAATAGACACTTTGATCTTCCATATACGGTGGTCCCCATGTTCGTGTATCATCGCCGTGACCTTCGAGGGTTATACTTAAGAGATCTATCTATATCTGATAACAAATTCTTTTTTATTTACCAGGTTTTTCAACTTTAATTACATTTGCACCATAATCAGCCAAAATCATACTAGCAAAAGGTCCTTAAAATTCATATCAACTATTAATTAAAAAAGAAGAGAAAAACTCCGCCACAAATGTATCTCACCGGCTAAAACACGTGTTAAGTCTAGGATTTTCACTCCATGCAAAGGAAGCCTATTAATACCCGTCATTGTTAGAAGTTTTTCCTTTTTTTTTATCTATACAATGAATTATCAAATATTTGATTTGAAAAATTTTATCTTTCTTTTACGAATGGTGTAGGAATAGAGCAATCGTTTTCTTTTTCAATATGAAAAAGAAAACGTGTCAGTCGTTGTCGGTTTTATTCGATAGTAAATAAATAATTGAAATTCTTTTTTTTCTCTGTACAATAGCAGAAAGAAATGAGCCCCCTTTGTTAATTATGAGAGAGAGTACGAAAGAGTGACCTGAAATTTCATTCTGGTTGTTCGAAGCTACAATCGAAATGACTATGCATCGAGGTAAAAAGTCAATGAGCTCAGTTGTGTAAGGATTTACTTAGGAAAACCGCTAAAAAACACAATGCATGCATATTTCAACTTCGACTTCTAACTGTTATAGTCTTTAAAAAAACAATAATGTTGAATTTTATTTATTTTTAACCACATGTAAATTCTGTGGCAGACATAAAAACTGAAGAATAGAATCACATTTAGAAATCATATCGACGTTGGTTTTCTAAAAAAAAAACAGAAATTTCGAATGAAATTGTAAGTAAAATTAAGATGAAAAGGTAGTCGTTATTGGAGACTTCATTCGTTAATGATGTGAGTTTGCAAAATGAAATGGTGATATCCCTTGGCTAGACCATTACTTTTAGCTATCTTTTAGGTTACAATTGTATGTTGAGTTATTCTAAATATTCTGAAAAAATTTAGTTCTATACACCTTGATTCTACTAAGTTATTATTGAAAAACCGTCATTAGTGACATGACAACGGCTTGCACTAAATATGTTTTCATTCACATATTCTTCAAGTTTAAAGAGCACTTATGAAAAATGAATAGTGCATTTTGTAGAAAGCTTTTCAAGCTACAAAATCTCTACACAAATTGCTTCCTGCTCGTGCTTAGATTATTTTAGAAAATCAGGTTTATTCGTCGTTAACGACATGATTGAGTATGAATATAGAAAACAAATATCCTCTTGTAAATGAATGAAAAGTCCAGAAACCAATTCTAAATGATAAAAATTCTTATTGAGGGTTGTGAGATTACAGTAAAGAAAAAAAACAGTCACGTTTTGTGATAAGAATAGATCTCTAGAAAATTCCGTTGTAGGAAGACAATTTTGTAAAGCTCGATGTCGCTGAAAATTTCACAATTGATGTAGTGTATGGCGTGGAGTCTATTCTGGAATTTTTGGACTTTTTCGTCATATAATTAAGGAGTTATTAGTTAACTACTTTTTAATTAATTAGCTATGAGTTGAGAGACACAATATTTTTACCTATACTCGCGAAAAAATTAACTTGTTGAAAAAAATAAACCTTTTAAACGAATCAAACTGAAATTGAAGATGGTCATGTCCCTTTTTCTTTGATTTTGCATCTATATACAAAAAGTAATCAACCATGTTTCATCGTCTAGTCTTGTTGAATACCAGTGAAAGTTAATTTTGATCAGCATCTAACGAAAAGAATGTGAATATTATCTTTTTCTTTTCTATTTAATATAATAAATTATTCTATAGTCTATATTTTGTTACTTCATCTGGAACTCAAAAAAAAACAATATTTTTTATATTGAATTTCTAATAAAACAAAACTTGCATGTTAATAAATGAAACTCGGATGTATACTATATTATTTCCGCATCGTACGTGTGTATGTCTTGAAAATCGTCCTTCATTTATCTATTTCTTTGTTCGTTCTTTACTCGTTTTTCTTTTCTACCTGGCATACAAAAAGAAAGAAATCGAGAGAATAAAATCGATGTGCATTGGCATCGATGTTGTCTATCAATCATTGAAAACAGAAAAAAAAAATCAAATAACTGAAAACGATGAACTTTTTCTTATTATTGTTCATAACAATAATTTATTTATTAAATGAAACTTCTAGCAAGATAATATTTGGTACTATCAATAAAAATATTGTGAGTAAAAGAAATATTATTTTTTTTTTTTTGAATTTTTCTGTCTCTTATTTCAATATTAATATTATAGGTTTGGTTATATTTAACAAAATTTTCTTTTCATCCAATTTATGGACATATTGATATAAGTTTAAATGTGAGATTTGTAGAATATAGTTTTCATTCTTTTGAGAAAAGTAAAATTTCAAAATTTTGTTTTATAGTCATTTAATAATAATACAATAAAATTGTTTGTTTTAAATAAATATGAATGGAAAGAAATTAAAAATGATTTATCTAAAATTTGTTTAAAAAAAGAATTACAATTAAATTCAATTAACAATGAAACAAACTTAGAGATTTTATCATCATCTTTTACATCTATTGGTCAAATGTATTTTATTTTAAGTACATGTAATTCAAGTTTAAATACGAATGTAAATATATTTTTGACTTTCTTTTTATTTTTTTTTTCGTTAAACATATATGAATTATTAAAATAAATAGGATTTATCTTTTACATATAAATTAATCTTAACAAATGGACATAATTTATTTATGAAGCATTTTTCTAACGATGAACAAGGTAAGCGAATCTTTTATATTTATTAAATAAAGTTGTTTTTTTTTCTAAATTCTACAGGAATATTGCAATTATATATTATTAGTACAATTATCTATACTATAATTTTATTAATTGTTTTTAAATATATGTGTAAGTTTTGTATTTGAATTTATGGTTAAAAGAAAAAAATTATTTTATTTTTTGTTGTCTAGATTCATCAAAAAATAAACCTTGTTTAATAATTAAGTTATATATTATTTCAATATTATTTTCATGTCTTTATAGTTTAATATGTTTTATTGAAAATTTTATATTTGCATTAATAGGACATACTGATGTATTTGGATGTCAATTATTATTATTTTTTGCTCGATTGTTTCATTTATGTGCTTCCATATTGTGTCTTTTTATGTTAATTCTCTGTGCAAAAGGCTATTTAATTATACGTGTTAATTTAAGAAACAAAACACTAACAGAAACAATACTGATTATTCTATTATATATACATGTGCAGATAGTTATTTTAATTATTATAACGATAGTAAGTTGATGAAACTATCATTATGTTATAAATTCGCTTTTTTTTTCGTTAAGTATACCGATCGAGTACTAATTAATGAAATTATCTTCATTATTTGTGATTATATTCAAATGATAATGTATCTTTTAACTTGTCTTTGGTTTATTGTATCTCTTATATTAACAACTAAAAAATCTATCAAAACATTCTATTCGTTTATTATTTTTACTTTCTGGTATAAGAAAAAAAAAATTTTTTCTTTTGTCTTTGATAATAATTATAATTCAAATAGGTTTTTAACTAATGCAATTGTTATTTTATTGAATATTCTTGATATTATACCAAATTTTCAAATAACTATTCTCAAAGCAATGACAATAACTATTCAAATTTTAACATATTGTATATTTATGGTATAATTTAAAGATTTTATAATCGATTTAAATCAATGATTTTTGCTTGTTTTCTTTCTATGTTTTAGTTTATTATTCAACAAAAAACATTTTTGTTACGAACAAAATTAAATCAAGTAAGAATTTTCTCATTTGGTTTCTTTTGTTTTCGTTTAATCTTTTTTTTCTTTTATTAAAAAAAAAACAAGATTAATATAACCTATATTGATCCAACATTATCAAAATCTCATATTCAAGAACAATTAACAAGACAAAAAATTATCAATACTAATCGAGATGAATTAACAAATTTATGTTCTATTGAGGTAATGTTTTCTCTAGTTCCTTTTATTTTTTTTTTTTAATTAAAAGTGAAATTTTTCTTTGTTTTACTAGAATACTAACATATCGAAATTTCGTATGCCTATGAAATCTTTTGAAACAGTTTCTCGTCTTGAACCACGTCGAGATGTATTATTAAAAACGTTGACACAATCATCGATTGTTTCATTTCAACCCTCAATATATCCCGTTCCACGTCGCTTACCACCATTAAAACATGATGATTAATGATGAATATTGTTTTTTTTTTTTATTTCTTATGGTTTATTTATTCTTTATTTTATTTATTTCGACTTTATTAAGCAATTTTTTGTTTAGTAAAAAATCATAAAACTAAATCAAAGATAGTTCGATGTTGGTTTGTTGTTTTTCCATGATCATTTGTGACTTTTTTTAGATTTTTTTTCAGCATCTTTTTCTTTGTCTTTGTCTTTACTTTTCTCTTTGTCTTTGTCTTTTTCCTTTTCTTTGTCTTTGTCTTTTTCTTTTTCCTTTTCTTTTTTATCCGTTTTTCTATTTAAAAAAAAAACAAAATAAAATTATTTATTAAATATAAAATAATCAATTAACATACTTGATAACAGTAGCTGGAATAAAACTTGTATAGAGTTTATCTGGAATGGCTTTAACAGTTTTTTCAAATGCTTCACTATGAAAAATCGAAACAAACAATATATTCGATTAAAATTTTAATAGAAGGAAAAAAAACGCAAAGGAAATTACGGTGGCAAAATCATTGGTGGTGGTAATTGTTGAACAACAAGAGCAGGACGTTTAGTTATTTGATTTGTTGGTTGTTGAGGTTTATCACGTGATGATTTTTTCGATGATGATTTCGATTTTGAACTTTCTTTTTTTGATGCTTCAGGTGGATTTGGTTCAATAGCTTCGGTTAATGCGTCCATATCTTCAAAATCAATAACTTCATTGTATGGATTACCTGAAATATAAAATTAGATAATATTTTTTTTAAAGTTAAAAAAAGAAAATTTTTGTTTTCTATTTACTTGGATCAGCACTAGCATGAACAGTAAATCGTTTTGGTTGTGGTTTAGGAAATGGAATATCTTCTTTTATTTGTTTAACAACTTTAATTGCTTCTTCTAATGTGAAATAAGCTGTGTCCACTGGTCGATCTTCTTCATTTTTCATTTTCACACTTATTTCAAAAGCTGTTTCAACACAATCAAGCTATTATATTCAAAAAATGATAGAAAATTTCTAATAAATAGACAATAAATTTTAACAAACTTCTTCATGTGTTGCTAATAGAATTTTACTTCTTTGATATTCTGCTGCATCATCAAAAATCATATTCATTTTACTTCGTATATCTTCATAACGTTGATATTCTTTTTCATCAAATTTTTCTTCTTTTTTTTTATCCGGTTCAGTATTTTCACCTTCACGTGGTAAACCAAATGTTAAACATCTAATATATACATATATTCATATTTAGAAAAAATAAAATAAATAAAAATTTTTGTTTAATTTTTTTCATACTTAGCACAATGTAATGTAAATTGTGTTAATGGTGAAAGTTCAATTATTTTTGGTTCATCTTGTCCGAAAAGAAAACCTATAACAGATTTTGCAACGCAGAATTTTTCTAATCGAACTTGTGGTTTAAAATCAGGTACATCAGTCGGTAAATGTGTTGTTATTTCAATATCAAGTGGAAAATCATAACGCATCATTATTTCTGGAAATGTAAATGTTCCATCATGATTTTTATATTGTGTATGTAATTCATTATCTTCAATTAATGTTGCAAAACGTAATGGTACACCAGGTGGCAAAATAAATTCATGACCAGTTTTTGGATCTTGAAGTACAAATGCGTCTTTTGGTTCACTTGCAATTAATTCACCTTTATCATTTTTAATACGTGATTGATATTGTTCACGACGTACAACACTAAGACGAGCACTTTTACGTAAAACAACTTTGTCCCATTCATGAGTTGATGCTGCCTCTTTTTTACGCATATGTGCTGGTGTATCAGCAAGAACTTTTATTGAACGTGGTAAATCAAATCGATATAATTCAAATGTACCTTGAAAAATCCACCAACGTTTTTTAAGTATTGGCTCTTTTGATAAAATACGAGATTCACCTTGAAACCAATCTGGTATAAGATATCTTGATTTTGATGAACTAGGTTTACCAGATGATGATAATGGTGAAGCAATAATTAAATAACGATCAAATAATGTTTGTAAATACATCCATTGTTTTTTTTCTAAATTTGTATTCCATCCTTGTTCAACACGTATGATTTGAGGTAATTGATAATAATCAACAAAGTTATGAAAATAATATTCACCAGTTTCCCATTCGAGTTTTTTCAAATCTTTTACTAATTTATCTAATTTTTCTTTATTATCAGATGAAAGTTTAACTGGAGCTGTTGATGTTAGAGCCATTTATCGAAAATCAACGATAGAATAATATCTAAATAACTGAGAAAAATATTTTATGTACTGATGATAAAAAAAACCTCAATAAATAAACGAACCAATCACCCGTAGACACCTTTTACGTTTAATAATACAAGGTGAGCGATTAGGATTGGCATATATATATGTACATGTATGCAATAAAAAATTACCTTCTTTTTTTTTCTGATTGTATCGTTTCGGTTGATAATCCTTAATAAACATTGAAGTAAAGGTGAAAGAGGAGTGATGCATAAAAATCATTCAGCTGCTAATACGTATCGATATGGATCAATGAGCCAAATTTTTATGTTATGAGCAAATAATACACATAAAATAATCGTAAAATACTCATCTGTTAATTATGAAAATATGATATTTTTATGCTTCAAATATTTTGCCATAATGCATTTCGATTTTTCATTATTTTATTCGAAAAAAAGAAGCAAATTTATAAGAAATTTCTTTGACTTAATCATTTTCGATGAAAAAAAGGTACGAACTATAAGCCACAATATAAACGGTCAGACTGACCATTTCAAGCTTTACTCTTTCGCCGCAAACCACAGCGGTTGTTTATCGGATGGCTTTTGTTCTCTTGAGTCTAGTTCATTGTTGAAAGGTTTTGAATTTTACATTGTATCTAGATTACTTAAGATGCAAAAGGCAAGCAAAATTCTGTTTTTTTTTAAAATACATGCTTTGATAGAAATCGACGAGTTAAGTGAGAATATATGTTTTATTATTATTTCTTTTGAATGTCTTTCAATAAAAAAATGAACTTTTTTCAATTATGCTGAATGATCGATTGTTTCTAAAATTCCATTTTTCATTCTTGGAAACTGACATGTCTAGATTCACCATGAAAGGCTGGGTTTATGAGACTATGATTTTAAAAATTAGTCTCACAGGCTAAGTTTTGTTATAGTATAAAAGGTGTACTTTTAGAGAAAAACCGATCAGTCAGGGCTATCGAAAAAACTCGATTTTTTTAATCCAACAGTATTCAGAAAAATAATAAAATACATACTCTTACTCAGCTCGTCAAGCTCTATCAGGTCATTTATAACAAAAAACTTCGTTCAAACTTTGCCCCTTTTGCACCTTAATATAAAAGTTATTTTTATCTTATTGTTTTGAAGGAGTACATTGATATATACATGAAGACATAGATTGTTGTTTTGTAAGATTTTTGATAAATAATATTTTATTTCCAAATTTGTTTTTTTTTTTCGTTTTAAAAACCTACTTTTATGTTTAACACCGACAAAGGTCTTTTGAATAGTCATTCAAAAATTGTTCAATCATGGTGTGTCATTCACACATAAACACATAGAGTTACATGCGCGCGCACACATACAAACGTGAGCCATATATATATATATATATATATTTTTTTTTTTTTTTTTTTTTTTTTGAGAAAAAAAGAAAAGGCTCAGATAAATTTTAAGAAATAAAAAAAAAACGCAGAACAAAAGACGAAAAGAAAAGAAAAAGAAAATAGAATGAACAAGTGAAGAAGAAAAAGACACAAGGGAAGACAGTTCTGTGTCATATGATTAGTGCAAAATTGTCATGGATGATGTGATGAACATTAATTAGAAGACAAAATATGAATGAATACAATCTCACAAATGATAACCGAAAAAAGAAAACAACCACAAAAAAAAATGATGCTTTGTTTGCTTAGGCTACATAATTATACATTTTCCTATAAAAAAAAAAAAACAAAAATAGTATAGAAATCAATAATATATAAATGTACAAGATAGCTCATATATGACTAGATGATAAAAATATTCACTATCTCGAATTTGCTTTCATCAATTGATCTAATTTTTTTTTTACGATCTGACTAACTTATCATCATATAAAATATTCACAGCTTTCAAATACTTCAATAGAATTTGATGTAATTTATACCGTAAATAGATGCATTACATAAGGATAGATTAGTCATGTGAATAGATATCTTCCTTCCTTGAGTTATAAGACTCATAGTAAGAAGAATTGCTATAGATCATAAAATTTTCTTTAACTCTAACGAACAAGACTAATTTGATCACATTCATTTGATTAATTAAAGTAGACTATAGATATTTTATTTTCTTTATCATCTAAATATTTATGAGTTGCTCTGTGTACATTTGACTTACCTATCTTCGGATAATCGTGATAAATAGTCTCGTTCAATTAAACTTTCAATTCGTTTTTTTATAAAACCAGGACTGGGCATAAAACGTGCTTTAAGTTGATGAGTAACCTACATAAAGAAAATATAGATTGAATTATAGAAAAGAAATATATATAAGAAATTTTTACTTCAGCAACTAATTGTGTATGTGACATTGTTTTTCTTGTTTTCATTGTACGTACAATAGCTGCATCGATTTCATGTTTTCGATCATCTTCAACTTTACTTCGAGTTTCTTGTCTTTCAGGATCACTTTCAGTTTTTGGTGTTATTGGATTTATTTTTACACGATATAATTTTGATGTAAATGAATCATTAACAATAAATCTATCATTTGATTTAATATCTTTTGTTTTTGATTCTTTGATAAATATACGTTGACTGGGTTTACCCATTGCTAATGGTAATAATGCACGTTGAAGATCTTTTTCATTAATATCTGTTTCATGATGCATTTCCTATTAAAAAATTAAAAAATTCAAAGTCTTACTGATATAAACCAAAAGTGATTAGCACGAGTCTTGGGATATTAAACTTTGAAACATAATGTGTAGGTACATTATCGTTAATCATAGAAAGATTGTTTTCTATTCTTTAATTTTGAATCATATTTCTTCACTAATCTTTTACTTAATCTTCTAGAAATATCATAAGGAATTAGTTTAAAGACTATGACGAGACATTATGATAAACGGTCTTTGTAATATGAACAGAAAAGGGTTACTACAGTGTCTGTGATTAGAGTTGAGCGATTCTGAAATTGTTAAATCTATTTTGAGATATTTTCACTATTGAATTGTTAAGATTAAAGACATTATATATTTCAGTACTTAAACAAAACAATATTATATATCTATACGAAAATATTTAATCTCAAGAATGGAAAAAATAAAAATTTTCGACATAGATTTAAGAATTATTTTGTATCTATCTGATCATTTAACACTTTCGATTTGATTTTTGGTTTTAGTTTTCTGTTTTTTTTTTTGGAACCGTCGAATTCTATTCGTATTGTATTTATATCTTTTCAAAATTCGAAAAAAATTACTTCGAATGTCCAACATTCTTTTGTATTAAATAACATTAAAATAACCATTTGATAAGTTGATACTTGTAATGTATGTTTACGTTCTTTTGACATTGTTGTTGTTGGTCGCATTTCTCCATCATTATCATCCTCTTTTGGTTTACCATAAAATATTGATAGTAAATCTGCTGAACCTAAACTTGGTTGTAATGTTAATTGTCGTCCACTATGTTTACTCAAATAAAAGCGATGAAAACATTGATATGCTTCTCGAACAACAGTCGGTAAATTACATTGATGATTTGTACTTTGTGTTGGCCAAAAGCCTGTTGTTAATACTCGTACAAATAAATCAATACCATTTAAATTTAACTATATGATAGATAAATAAAAAAAACATTATGTCAACAGATGATATGATTGATTTTTCTTACTCGTTTTTGTGAAACATGTAAACGAAAATCATCGGCTGTTGAATTTGATAGAGTTATATCTTTAAACATTCCTTCTAATTTACATGTAAATTGACAACCACATTCAGTTTTTAATCTGGATATCATATTTTTTTCAGCATCATCAGAAGCTGATTTATTTAATAATAAACGTTTAGCTAAATGTTGTTTATAATATCGTTCAAATACATCTTTTTCTTCTAAATATCGAAATAATATCATTGCTTTATCAAGTACAACTTCAACTTCTTGATCACCAAGCTATGAGATATTAAAACAAAAAAGAAAAACAAAATCTTTAATATTTATTAACAAATAATACGAAGTCATATTTGAATTATCTTTAGTATTTCACATTATTTTTTTTTCAAAAATTATGAATGTATTTATATAGTACTATAAATAAATGATTGACACATAGAAGAGTCATTCGTATAAGTTTTTTCATACGAAGACATTTTCAACTGAAAACTGTCCCATTCTATAAGCTATCTTTAATAACAATTTCAGCTAGAATGGTTGAAGTTTTGCTGAGTAATAATATAAATATTGTTCGGAATGCGTATGAAAATCATGTTGATATATTACCATTTCTATTTATATCTCAAGAAAAGAGAAAACGACATGGTATTCTGATTGATTATCAAAGTTCGTTGGAAGAATTGTAAAACCATACACTTTTCGATAGTTTTAAGCATAGCATTTGTTTACTAAGACAACCTAAATTTCGTTTAGATACCATTCTGTTCAGTAAAGTAATCAATACAAAAACTTGAGTTATGTTCTGAAAATCATTTTAATTAGAAAAGTTATTTAATCAATAGGAAACAAATTCTGAGTATGTAAAACATTATTGTACAACAAAATAATACATGACGAATCAATGAAAATGATATTTTCATTGAATTGACTTTTTTGATTAGCTCCTTTAGGGGGGGGGGGGGGGATTTCAGCTGAATTTTTCAAGAAAACGTTTATCTAAACAAAACTTTGAAACATATATATATCGATTTAGTTTTATATGCTGATTCCAAATATATTATTCTGTTTTACTCAAAAGTTATTTTCTTTAATCACAACTTGTTAAACACCGATTAAAAAAATGATGTCGAAATGAAATTCAGACTGTCTTATTTAACTACGATTACTTCTAAAAAAATTGGAAAATGTATTTCGTTTTGTAACTCTTCCTACGAGCTTTATTGAAAATGTCTTACAATGGAAATATTAAATATGAGTCATTCTTCTATATATAAATCGTACATTTATGTTACGAATGTAAATATTAATAATTTGTGAAAAACTAGTTTGCATC